TCTCTGTGATTTAAATATCATTGTAACTTAATAATGGAAGTACAGTGACCAAGAAATCGTAGTTTCTGCTCATTTCCCCCCCCCCCCCGCCCCTGACTCAAAAGGACTCTGCATTCAGACACAGAGAGATGGAGCTTCCAAAAATGTTCAAAGGCCTTAAAAGGGGACTTTACTCTGTGCAATCAGGCGCCTGCTTGCACAGGTGGGCTGTTCACACCGGAGGCCCCCTGGTGAATGGGTGCTTTTTCTGATGACTGACCCTCAGGTATAGCACCTCCAAATGGCCAAAGCAGCCAGAAAGGGCACCCATGACCTTGAAAGACGAGAAGGAGCCCGGAGCCATGAACTGAGCCTTGTGCAGGTGCTTCCCCCATCGGCTGTTTCTTGTTTTTTCAGGGTGACTGTGGGCAGACGATGAGGCTGCCCTGAGATACTGAATTATTCATACCACAGCAATACAGTATGCTGACATCTAACTTTTGCTGGTTGTTTTGGTCCATGCCAACGCTGATGGTAGGGAATGCTGGATGTCCTCAGCCTTTTCTGTCCCAGGATACGCCATCTAAACAAGGCTGCTAGATGGTTAGGTGTGCCCAGTGCCTCAAATAGTCTAATAGAAACACAGGGATTCCAGGACTCCTAATACTGGCAGACCCCTTGACTTTCCTTCAGGTTAGTCCCCAGTGTTCAGTTGACAGACAGAGGCCCAGAAAGGGGAGCAACATGCCTATGGTCATGTAACCAGTAGCATGGCAGAAATGGAGGGAAAACCAAGCTTCAGCACTTTTCCATCATCAGGTACTGCTGCTGCCTGTAATGCCATCTGTCGGGTCACGGAAACACAGATGTGGAGTCTCTAGCTGGGATCGCTGAACTGCCTGGCCACACACACACACACACAGAGCTGGATGACGATAACAGTCCACATAGCACCCTAACCTTTTTGCTCAGCTTGCAGCTTTTTAAGGCATGCTTTAGGAGACTCACACAATAAAATTATGATCTGTTTAATATTGTTCTTCGCCTCCTGTATATTGAGACTAAATTTATGTTGTCTTTGCTCTTTCCTTGTCGAACATGATGAAAGGAAGAAGTTATTCCACAGAGCAATTCTAGAGGATAGAAAAATGGTATTAACAACCCCCTTAAATCACCACAACTCTGAAAACAAAAGCAAATAAAAATGTCATTTCTGAAATTCATTAGTAATTGTTAGAAGAAAGCAAACACAAGCTCTCTTTCATGATAGACAGCTACTATATTAGAAAGATATGGAGAGAAAACACTCATACATAATGTTTTGGGAAATTTGTGAATGTTTTACTTTAAGTGAATATTAAATTTAAAAATATATAAGTTCTATTGTCTCTCACCTAAATGAAATATAATAAGAAATTAGATCTTTAAGAAAGACACTACTAATTTCAGCCTGAATCATGTATTCTACTTTAAAAGAAATGGTTTAGAATATTGATAAATAAGGCTGTGAAGTGAAAAAACAAACTTTGTTTTAAAACCAGGTAAAATAGTTAGTTTTAAAAAATCTGTCCCCCATCAACCCCCACCCCCACAGAGATCTAGATATAAGTTCATATTGAATATGTAGAGCCATAGCAAAAAAATAAAAATAAAAATAAAAGAGAGACACACACACACACCTGCCTCTGTCCAGTTTTTGCTTTTACTGAAGGCCCTGGAAAGTCCAGTCTAGGCCTGAATGTCATTGGAAGTGTAATACGTCAAACTATTTTCAGCCATTGATATTGTGGCATGAATTCAGTTTATTGGGTTAACAAATCAGAGTCTTAACAGGACTCTGATGGTCTGGAACATAGTGTTGATAGCTTTTGATTGGCCAGAGATGGTTAGAAAGTACTGGAGCATTGAAAACTGACTCAGATAGTAGGTTCTGGCAAGTTCTAGAATGGTAGTCATTGGAATGCTGAGAGTCAGGATGAAGTTACAGAACACTTGGGAATTGAGAAGGGAAGAACTTTGAAACGTGATAGAGTTCATCCTACCCGCACGTGCTATGTGTGCTCAGCAAAAAGGAGAGAGTTAGGAAGCTGAGAATGGGATCCACATACCCACAGCTCTGCTCAATAAGCACAAGCCCTGGAGAGAGACTGAGAGGGAGGTGGGAGTCTCAGGGCCCACCTTCCCTGCTCTGACTGGAACTCTAGAGTTTCAAGCGACATAGTTTTGTTTCATCTAGTTGCAAGTCAGTGACTACCTGGCACTCAATAAAATAAACACGATCTGCTCCCAACACAGGAGGGAAAATGTGCTGTTCTGGACTTACTGAGATGTGAACAATGTCCAACATGATGCTTCCTAAGGGATCTTTTAGAGTAATTTTGACTATCCTTTACTTTTGCTTTATTCTCTCTATAGAACCTAACACCGTTAAAAGATAAATTCTACTGAACGAAAGGGCACTGAAAATAAATTCCTCTTAATCTTGCAGTCTGACTAGGTCAAATCTATGTGCTGGCACAGAATCTACTTGATAGCTGAAGCCTAGGCCAGAATACAGATCTGGTGATTATGTTGCATGGGCCATTCCTAAATAATGTGGAGGACAGTTGATGGCTTATTGAGCAAGGAACACTTTATTGCTTAAAATTATGACTGTCTTAGCAAATGCACATACTGTGATTGAATCAATATTCAATAATGTTTTAGAAAACAGATGTGGAATGTAAACAATCTTTCTATGTTTCTTGTTTTGGAGCAAAATTCTCATTAAATTCTAGATGCATCCAGCTCCCATATTTCCTGCTTGCTGAGGGCGTAGGGAGGAACCGTAGGGGAGACACACCTCTGCACTTGAATCTGACGGCTGACAGAGTGGTGGGAAGCAAGGGCCGATGTGCCAGCCCTCAGGGCTAGGGCAGGAGGCTTGGTTGCCTTCCTAAAACTCTAAGGGGATTATTTTACTTGACACATTTAAATATAATTCCTTGTCATGCTTTTAAAATGTTCAGCCTGTTTCACTGAACATTTTCTCTGGTTAGACAATTGTCAGTGTGTACATTTCTTTTTTTATATCCAAGTGCCGAAGTCTTTTTCTATAACCCATGGGCTGCCCTTTAAAATCTTGCTGGCGGGCTTATCAACTTCACAGGACATCTTCCTTTAAAGGTGCCCTGAGCAGTTTAATTATATGTTTCTGTGGATCCTGGGAAGTCAGACCAGCTTTTAAACTCTGACATTTAGTGAACAAAAGGCACCGGCTGAGTAAGATCCCTTTGTTGTATTTAAGCCCACAGCTGAGTTTTGATCCTGCTGACAAATAGCTGCTTTTAATCCCTTCATAGGCTCTAGAGTTATAAAGAAAGTTTATAAGTTGGCTAGCTACATACATAAAATATTGCTGAAGAGGCCCTTGTTGCAAAAATGGCCAGACTAAAAGTAGGGCAGGAGAGAGACTAAAATGATGTTTCAGGGGAAGATTCTAGGGTTGTGCTAGCTTGGATCATCACCCAGAATTTGATTTAAATTTTCTCTCAGTAGAAATTTAATAGTGTGCTTGCAATTCAGGAAAGCATGTGCCTCCCTGAGATGTGAGGCGGGCTGGGGAGTGGTCCTGGTGAAGGTGCTATCATGCCTTACATTCCTATTACTGCTTTTGCTTTAGAGAAGCAAAGAACTTTATTGTTATTTCCCTTATACCAACAGTATCCCTAGACTCTGTCTCCACCTTCCACATCCAGTTGGTCAGAATTTCCTGTCAAATCTATTTTATAAAAGCCTCCCAAATCTACCTCCTTTTTTCATACTGAGGGCTCTTGATTTTTTGACTCTGCCTCAATTGCTTTCAACATTTCTTACTAGATGTCCCAGCTCCTGGTGGTGTCCACTTCTGTCCATCCTCTAATCTTCTGCGCAAGTCATCTTCTAGAACGCAAATCTGAACATCAAGCCCTCCTGCGTAAAATCTGTTGACAGCTTACTTTCCGTGTCTGATGACATATCGTGGTGTTATGCCACACTCCTTAGCTGAGTGCACCTGTCATTTCCTCTCTCCCACCTTCCTTTCCCATCTCCCTGCCCTAGGATCCTGGTACCCTTTGTTCAGAGTATTTAGAGTGTATGTGTACATGTGTGCACACACGCACACGCACACACACACACACACACGCCTCATTCTTTCATGTTTTCTTTGCATATGACGTGCCCATATTCCTTTCCCCAGGATGCCCTGCTTCTTTTTGTTTACCTTCCAGAAAACCATTTGTCTTTCAGACTCATTGTAAATGTTACATCCTCTGAGAAAATTTCCCAGACCGGCCCCTGTGCCTTCCCTCTTCTTTCCTTGGTGTCACCACACTCCCTTAGGCGCACCCCTACTTCCATGTTCTATACTCTAGCTCCTCACGTGTCCATTACTGGGCAGTAAGCTCTGAGGCCAGGGACTGTGTCATGTTCGTGATTAATAGGTTATAAACTGTTGAGAACAAAGAGTTGACTTTCTTCTCTATAACTGAATTCACTTTGTCCCTGATCCCCCAGCCTGCCTACAGGAAACAACTGATTCTAACCTATTCTGTTACACTTAGGTTCGGATGAGTGTTCTACCATGCCATATTGCCATTTCACTTACGTGGACACCCCTTGCTGTCATGAGTTCTCCTCTTAGATTTAAAAATGGAAAGAGGATCATAAGAAACTGAAGTTTCTATTATCATTAACCCCTTACACAGAGGGCCTCTCCCAGAGGAAGTACCCTCACTCTGATCTTGTCCTCTCAATCTCTCCAAGCTCCATATTTCCAGCCCCAGAAGGGCTCCTCTTTTGGTGGGGTGCAGACTTGACTTATGTCAAATCCTAGGTTCTTCTCACGTCGTCAGTGGACTCTGTGGTCAATTCTCCAATTTTTGTTCCTTAATATGTAAAATGTAGTTTAGAGAGTTCTGAGAACATTATTTTATGCTTCTCAAAAGCCTAGCTTTTAAGACTATTCTATGAATCATGGCACCGAAAAATGCATTCACTGCTCAAGAGAGTATTGGATTGAATATTGAACGTTATTTCTCCTTTCAGGGTCATGTAAGACATAGTTAGAATTAAAAGTATACGGAATCCTCTAGAAGACATTAAGCTGGCACTCAACGTTAGGGCCATCAGAGCCATCAGTGTTGAGTTGTGAATTGAACCTGAAATTGGCTGACAGTGAATACAAGGTCACTTGGGACCCTCCAGTCTCATGGGACCATCATAGTCTTCCATGCATTTTATTGCTTTTAGGGTCCTTCCTAAATTATTCCTGAGAGATAGTAATTTAATGCTAGTTTTAAAGAGTCCTTAATTCTATATTAGGTTTCTACTCACATACTGTCACTTATGAACAATTTAAATGGTAAAAACACGGGCAGATTCAGTTCCAGTTTATCTTGATTGTTAATGTGTGTGCAAGGTATCTGCCAAGTGTATAGCAGGGAATGATACACATATCAAATAAAAACATCTGTTTACCCTTTATTAAAATGTTGCAAATGTTCATAATTAGAGTCAAATAGTTCCTAATATATGATTATCTTGATAAAAAGTTGTTTTCTTTTAGGAAAGCTATTAATCTGTGCTTCTTCAGGTTTCCTGGTTTAAGAAAAGCCAGTTGAGTGAAGCAGCTACAATACAGGGGACTAACCACTGTTCACAAGTTAACTCTTTCCCATATTGCAGACAAAGTGCCAGAGGGAAACTGAGGTCTCTAAAGCAGAGTTTTTACCCTTACAAGGTCAAAAATGGCTCTAAGAATCTAATGAAAGCTCTGAATTTTCTCCGCAGAAAAATGCAAGATGCATATACAACATGCTACCTATAATTTCAGGATATTTACATGCCCTGCTCAAAACAGTTAAGAACCCAGACCTGCACATTGACTTTGTAGTTAGTAAAAATTATCTTTGAAAACTCTTAAGTTTCTGAGAAAGTATATATACCTGGCTTATGTACTGAAATTTTACAAGAGCAAATATGAAAAATATAATCTTAACAGTACTTCTAACTACAGAAAGAAAAAAAGAAGGGCAACAAGTTGCTGAAAGCCTAAAGTTGAATATGAGAAGGTGAAAAATGCACACATGATGCAACTTCATTTATAAACTTTACCTGCAATGGCAACTCTAGAAAGAGCTGCTGGTTGGGTTTCTGATGCCAGCGGTACCAGCACTGGAGGCAGGAAGGTTTGAAATCACTGAAATTGATTCCCTCTCAGGTATCAAGGGCATCCATTTTGCCTCTTCAGGTCCTTTCTTATATTCAAAATGCACATTTGAAAAAAAAAGACAATATTCACAAAAAGTGAAAAATATCCAGTAAATCACCATGATTACTTACATGCTTTTTCTTACAAATTTCTAAATAATGACTTCTGATTTTATATTTCCCTTGGCAATTAAAAAGTCAGCTTTTTGGATGTGTACTTTTACTCATAAATTGTCACTTTGAATAAGGAATACACACATACACACAAAGATCTAGATTTGACTGGGTAATGAAAATTTGAGGTCTAATTATTCCAAGCTGGAGTTTTGTGATCTGCAAATTTACTTTACTATATTGAGTCAGTGATCAGTGGGCTTTTCTTCTTAATTTATTTTTCTTTTCTTTCTCCTGCTCTCTCTCTCTGTCCGGCACCTCTTCTGGCAGCTGTGTAATGGGGGCTCGGTCACTGAGCTCGTCAAAGGTCTACTGAGGTGTGGCCAGCAGTTGGATGAAGCAATGATCTCATACATCTTGTATGGGGCCCTCTTGGTAAGAATGTCCATCAAGGTGAGGATGACAGCAGAGGGGACAATTTGTCCATTGCTTTGATCCTCTTTGCATATTAAAAATGGGGAGACTGCCCTATAATATGCAAGGATTATTAACAGCAGGAAAGTATAGCTATATGTGGACTTGGCTGTTTTAATAGTAGCGTAATTGCTTTCAACTAAGCATGTAAATTTCCCCTTTCTCTTTCCTGTTGTTTGGTGGTGGGATGCCACGCAGGGTCTCCAGCATTTGCACAACAACCGAATCATCCACCGTGATGTGAAAGGGAATAACATTCTTCTGACAACAGAAGGAGGAGTTAAGCTCGTTGACTTTGGTAATGACTGCTTGTCGTTTGTTTTCTTGATGTGTGCAGTTTAGCCAAAGGGGACAATTTATTGCAGTCTCAGAGGACTGGGCCTTTTTGCTACAAAATAGGCTGAGGGACTTTTCCAGTCAAACGGCAGCCTGGAGAGTGGGGGGTTTACCAGATGGATCACCCTAGGAGATGCTGTTTCCTAATCTATTTTCAGCTTTAGAAGCAATTTTATTAAAGAAAGAAAATAAAAGTGTTTCAAAAGAAGAACTTGACAGAAAAAGTTTTTGGCTTTCTGTTGAGAATTTCACATCTCAGGGCGATTGTCTGTAATTTACATTTTGTCATTTCTCCTTTTGCATATGAATGGAGAAAGCAGTTTGCTCTTTCAAATGACTTTCACTAGCCTTAGGCGTACTTATTCCCAGTGAGCAGAAGGTAAAATAGTCCTTTGGGCCTGAGAGCTAACATCCCTTTAAATTGTGATTATTGCTGCTACATGTGAGGCTGAAGGAAATGGAAACGGGGAGGAAATGCAGGTCAGTATCATCTAAGGCCAGAGGACTATGAAATATCTTCCAGCACTTACATGTTGATACTCACAAACCAGCAAACTACTTGGTTTTCTTTTTTATGTTACTGAATGGTTTAATCTTCTAAATGAGTTCCACAATAGTTAGTATTTCAGAGTCATTGTTACAAATAATGAGAAAAACAGAGAAACACTTTTCAAAATGCTGTCAATGTCATTAGTAAAAAATATCATTAGTAAAGAGTAAAAAACAAGATTGATGATTTTGAGTATTCATTTATATTGGTAAGAAATAATTTGGTATAAAAACATGTCAATGAATTAATTGCTTGAAGAAATTACTTAAAAATGATGAAGTTGCATTAGGTGCCTTGGTCTATTTACTAAAGACGAAGCAAAGAAAAGTAGCAGAGGAACACTTTGTTCAAGTCTTATTCTCCCCTCGCTATATAAGGAATGATATGACTCCAATAATATTGTGTGCATATAACATCGCTGACGTGTTTTCCACACGATCTTGGGAACAGTAAATACGTTGCGAGGGAAATAGACTAGAAGGATGAGAATGGGGATTAATACTGATTTACCCACTCACCACGTTTGCCATTCGGCATAAGGGGGAATGTTCCTAATCTTTCCAGTAGAAAGTTCCTGAACTTCTATTTGCTGCAAAAAAAATTCCTAAAAATTAAAAACAGAAAGTTATACAGTAGTTGTTTTTACCAAAATTGTAGCTGAGGGCTTGGTAAAATGGGAAATTTCCCTTGGTCAGTAGAGTTTAAAGAGCCCTCTTTGGCTTTCTAATAAAGAGAAAGCAAGCAGCTAACACAACACACCCCCTTCCCCCCAAAAATCAACCCTTGGGTCCTTGGCAAATCTGTGCCTGTTGGTCTCTCAAGGGTGTGTCCTTCACTAATGAACACACAGTATTTAGGTTTCTAAGTTCCTGTCATCAACGGCAGTAGTGGCAGCATTTATCATTCTCTTAAGGGCTATGTTAGACTTCCACTTGGTATAAAGGAAGACCTCACCTTTGTAAAGTTCTTTGCAGTTTATAAGTCATTTTCACATTTGTTCTCTTATCTGGTCTTAAGAAGAACCTTCTGTGTTCGGTGTGACTGCTATCGTTATCCAAGTCTGAAGATGAGAAAACTGAGGCTGAAAAGTGAGGTGGTCACACAATTAGTCAGAAGTATAATTGGGATGGAAAGCACGTCTTCTGACTTCTGATTCAGTGTACTTCACTTCCACTTGATTCCCTCATGGTATAAAGAGGAGAACTGGTTAAATGACATTGGAATTACATTAAAATTCAGGTCCTCAACATTGCACCCTAGATAGTAATATTATTAGGCAATTTCTTTTTCCATTTGACAAACGTAGCTTTCTTGCTAGGTTTCCAGGCTTCTAGGCAAGATAAGGCACTGAAATCTTTTTACATCTACATTGATGCTCTGTTATAGATAGTACATGCCAATCTTCTATCGCCATAAAATGAAACACCTTATTAAGAAAGAAATCACCTGAAATAATTTGGAAATATAACAGGGAGATACTTTGGGTTGATCCTAGTTGTTGACATTTTTCTTTTGATTCTAAATTTGCAGCAGTTGGGACAGAAATGTTCACTAGAAAAAAAGTCTAATGATTTAGATAGAATGATAAACACTCGAGCATAGGGGTTGGCAAACTACAGCTTGTGGGCTAAGTATGACCCACTCCCTATTTTCATATGGCCCGTGACCTAGGAATAGTTTTACATTTTTTAATGATTGGAAAAAACCCAAAAGAATATTTTGTGACATGTGAAAGTTATATTAAATTCAAATTTCAGCACCCTTAAATAAAGATTCATTGGAATGCAGCCACGTTCATTTGTTTATATGTGTTCTATGGCTGCTTTTGCACTGTGACAGCAGAGCAGAGTAGTTGTGACAGAGATCATATGGCTTACAAAGCCTAAAATATTTACTATCTGGCCCTTTAAGGAAAAAGTTCTCCAACCCCTGGTCTAGCACCATCCTCTTCTCATTACTGAATTCTGCTACCCTTTTCTAGGTGTCTCAGCTCAACTTACCAGTACACGGCTACGGAGAAACACATCAGTTGGCACCCCGTTCTGGATGGCCCCCGAGGTAAGCAGGGAACATCTACTTCTTTGCACTTGTTGAGTGCCTTGGCATAAAGGGCATAAAAATGGGTAAGAAAATGCTTTATCCTCATTAAATGGTAAGAGATGTAGTTTAGTGAGTGATACTAATGAGACTTAATCTCAGAAAAACAGGATTAAGTCACAAGTAGTCCATAGGGTACCTTCACGCAATTAGAAAAAGGTGATCCCTCCAAGATGCAGCCCTCTCCAAGGGTCATGGTTTGGCAAATTCATCCAGCCTTTGTATGAATTTTAAAAAGTCATCTTCCCTAGTTGGTGTAGCCCCAGTGACACACAAATTGATGAAGAGCCAGATTTCAGCCTCAACTGGCCTGCAGAACTACATGCAGGGGCCCTGGTTGTTTTTCGTTACCGGGTATGTAGCAACTTCTCTTGTGTACTTTATTGGCTCTCTATAGCAAAACATGGGATTTGGTCCTAATTTAGTTCTGGCTTCCTCACCGAACTTTGGAAAATGATGCATTTGGAAATTTGGGGAACTTTCCAGCTAGGTAAGGCACGCCTTGAAACACTAGTACAGTTCTGCTTGTCAAGTCAGCTTTTAAATCCACAGTACCCTGGCTGTGGCCTGAGAGCAGCTCTCTGGGATTAAATAAAGGGTTCTTTTAATAAGAGGACTCAGGCAACACCTCCTTAGATATCTTCCCATCTCTAGTCTGTCCGCATAGTGGTCCTTCTCCTCTGTGACTGCCAAGGTGGTCTGCTAGCAAAGTAATCGGTTCACATCAATCTCTGCTCAAAGTTCTTCAATGGCTCCCCATTGGCTATAGCCCTCTCTTTCATACTTGGGTAATGGATAGACCCATTGTAAAGAAAAAGAAAAACCTTATAGATTCCAGTGTTTACTTAAATCTTAAGTGTTTTTTAAATAGGTTTTTAAAAATATGAAACTAGGTATAAACTTCTTGCCACTTATATTTATAGAACTATAAAATCAAAAGGAGAAAACGTATTATGAAAAAACAGTGAAGCCAGAAACATTCAAGCAAGCAGCTTTAACTTAAATAGGACAAACAAATGTCATTTGTTTCAGAGCACGATTGCATGGGTTGTTTTGAGTCTGCCGTACCTACTACCACTTATCATGTGGTGACTCAGTTCTCCTACTACTTTATTTCAGCTAGCGTGATCTCTGTTCAAACAGCATCTCCTCTGACCTCCAATGGTTACATCTCTGCTTGGTGCCAACTCAATAGTAAACATAACATGGGCACTGACACTGTGCAAATGGTCATCCAGATGATCTGGAATATGGTTTTACTACTCTTCCTCTTATTAATATTATTAATAATAATATAATTATCATTAAAACAAAACCAAAAACATAGGAAGTTTTCATAGGCACCTTGTGAACTCTACTTTGAGAAACACTGCAAGATAAAGTCAAAACTCCTCTGGATGGTGAACAAAGCCCTTCATATTCCAGCCCCATCTGTGCAGCCTCATTTTGGATTACTTTTCCCAATTCATTTGTTCTTAATGCACTAGCAGTAGTGAACAACAGGTAACTCTCCAAACTCCTACTGATATATCATTCCTTTAAATCCTTGGTGTATTGTTACATCAACTGGAATGGCCCCCAGAGCTCTGGAAAATTCCTTCTTAATCTTTGAGTATTGGCTCAAGTGCTAGCTCCCCTAGGAAATCTTTCCTAATCCCTGGTGGACGTTGATAACCATATGTTTCCACTGCAGGCTTACACCCTCCATTGGTGTGCTATCACCACTGCATTGTAACTGTTGACAGGCAGGTCTGGCAACTGGACACTAAGCTCTGGCAGGGAATTGGGATGCCCAGCTTTCAGCAGAATGCATGATACAGAGTAGGTGCTCAAAAAATATATGTTGGGTGAATGAATGCATTGTTAAAAAAGCCAAAGGGATAAGGTGATTTTGGAGGGCAGTTTGAGGAAGGCCTCACAACTATTGGAATTAGCTAATTTTTCTGTAGGTTTTGATTGATCTGTTCTCAAAGTGTAACTGAGGTCACTCAACTCACATTCTGGGGGTGGGGGGGTGCGGGACACAACATGGAAAATGATGTTCCTGTTCTAATCCACAGCAAACTGGTATTCTCAGAATCACAAAATGTAATCAAAAGAAGCCTTGGCCTTGTACAATTATTATGAGGTGTTTGTGACTTTTCAACTTCAGTTGGGTTGAGTGAAATATGTGGAGTGTTTCTACAGAGGGAAGTTTAGTGGTCTATGGTGAGCTTCTGTTGCCCAGATTGCCTGGGACTGGTTCCCTTCCCAGCAGAGAAAAGCGAGTGCCGCCTCCCGGCTGCTGCAGTGGATAAATTGCGGAGTAGGCAGTTATGGTGTGGAGGCCTTGACAGCACTTTTCAGGAGCGAGTGTCTGATTGCTCCGTGTAGGATTCTCTCGGGGTATGTGCTCATATCCAGGATGCTCCAGGACCCAGGCTGCAGTTCTCAGGACTCAGGCCTGAACCATCCTCATATTCTTATTTTCCAACTACAGAATTACTTTTTCCAGCAAAGCCTCTTTTCACTCCACAACTCTCCAAAGGAATGCCCACAGGAACAACGTTCACGTTCATCAGTTCAATTCAGCAAACACTCACACTGCACTGTGAGCAATGCTTTGGGTCAAGAGCAATCTTTGAAAGTATGATCGGTAATGGTTCAAATTAACATTGTCTTCATATTTTGGCCTGCATAGAATATTTATCTTAATATACTTTCTCTTCTGCTTGTGTGAATAAGTGGTGTTTAGATTAAATACGACAACAATGCCTGCAATACCAATGCAAGTGGAATAAAACCATTGTGGACGACCTGTGCGTTTATTTTTAAAATGCATCTGAAAGATCCTTGATCCTATTTTATTTTTGAGAAATTGAACCAAATTATCCTTTCCCCATTTTAATTTCCATTTTTATTTCACAAAATTGAGTAACCCCAATATTCAATTCAAATAGGCTATACTACAAACCAGGTAGCTAATGGAATGTGACCGTACCACAGTCAAATGTTGACAAGCAGTCAAGACACACAGTTCACTGGGGCAGCTCGAAGCCGCAGCAAGAACTGGCTGTGGCATTGTCAGTGCTCTCCGCTCATTTCCTCTCACTGCCTCATTTGGACGCTATTGAAATTGACAAATACTGGTAGAGTGGTATCAACTTAGCAATGTAGGAAAAAAAATTCTGTGGGGTGCTCTTAGTGTGATAGTACTTTGAAACAATACTACTGGGGAAATAAATTGCCTGGTATTGTGAAAAGGTTAATCTAAAAGTCAAGATCAACACAATTTTTTATAAACTAAATATATCAGTAGCATACAGTGACTACGGGGAAGATTATCTCAGGGAAAGATAAGAGTTCAACATAGAAACTATGTATTTAATAGATTACCATTAGCAAAACAATTTAAATAATAAGAAATTAAGTTTCTCATATAACAACAGGAGAGGTAGGTGGTTCCAGAGTCTGTTGATTCAGCAGCTCAATAACATCATCAAAATCCCAGACTCTTAAATCTCCCTGACTATGACCGCTGCAAGCTGCGTGGCTTCATTGTTCGGGGGCTGACTTGGGGGTGATTATGACAACACTGCCTGTGAATACCTGTGGGGCAATAGTGGCTCCAGCATCCCAGGAGCCACCAATGAAAGCACCTGTGGTACAAACAGAAGCCTGCCTTTACTCCCGTGGGGCTGCTCTTGCAGCCAGCCAGAAAGGTTAAGTGGGTTCTCGTCCTGCCCTAGGGTTGAAGCCTTGTCCACCCCTGTATTCATTTCCTGGGTCTGCAGTAATCAAGTGGTAAAAACTGGATGGCTTAGAACAACATAAATTTATTATCTAACATCTCTGAAGGCTGGAAATCCAAAACCAATGTGTCAAGCAGGGCCACGCTTTCTCTGGGGAGCCTCTTCCCTTGTCTCTTCCTGGCTACTGCAAGTTTGCTGCAGTCCTTGGTGTTCCTTGTCTTGTAGCTACACAATTCCAGTCTCCACCTTTGTAGTCCCATGGCGGTCGGCCTGTGGGTATCTGTCTTCAAGTGGCCGTCTTCTTATAAGGACACCAGTAACAATGGATTAGGGGCACACTCTACTCCAATATGACCTATCTTAACTAATTAATCCACAACAACACTATTTTCAAATAAGTTCACATTCTGAGGTCCTGGGGTTTAATTTTTTTTGAGGACACAATTCAACCCATAACAACTCCCTAAGTATTTTTCATTCTTCCTTCGTAGTAAATCATTCAAGTTTCCAAGGTAATCAGCCAGCCATATGGAACCTGCAGGGCTACATGTTACAGGTGCTAGCTGAGAGAGCTCAGCTTTGCCTCTACACACACGCGCACACACACTGCTTCTCAAATACACACACACACACGCACACACACACAGCTGTCTCTCAGACACACACACACACACACACACACACACACACACACACACACACACACTGTTCTCTCTCTCAGCCTTGGGTGTTTGAAGCAAACGTGGTTCTGTCTGGACGTAGCAAGCATACCAATACCAAATTGCCTTCCTGGGTAAGCCCCCAACACCTTCAGACTTTTGTTCTGTCCTACGCACTCTCTGGCCCAGCATTTGTTGTTGTTGTTCTTATTTCCCGAGATGTATGGCCCAGTTATCATGACTTCCCTCCACCTTCTGTTTACAGGATTAAACCTCTCTGGTCTTCTGGCCTGTGACTTTAGCTTGTATCTTAGGCACTTAAAAAAAAGTTCCTATTAGCCATGTTTATTTTCTCTTTTCCCCTTCACTGTCTTCTGATGACAATTTCTTTCTTTCTTTTTTTTTTTTTTATCAGTAAGGGGATTGCAACCCTCAGCACGGTGTGGTCTGCACCACACTCAGCCAGTGAGCGCACTGGCCATCCCTATATAGGATCCAAACCTACGGCCTCGGTGCTACCAGCGCCGCACTCTCCTGAGTGAGCCACAGGGCCAGCCCCTGACGACAATTT